ATTTTTTTTTTGTCAGATATTTTTTAGTCATTATTATTTTTTTCTAATTTACATATTTATTATTTTAAAGAATCCATGAGGGGTAGTGTAATAAATTCCTTGTATGAAGAAAGAAAGAGAGAAGAGAAAGCTGGATTCATTATTAATGCTAATTTTTTTTCCAAGAAATTAAATGAAAGAAAAGGACTTTGATAATAGCCATTTCAGGAGACACTCCGGTAATTGCGTGGGTTCCTCTCCTTCATGCACACTTCCTTTTTTTTTTCTTTTTTTTTTTTGATGTGGTCCCTCTTCCAATTTTAATTTTTTAAAATTTTTAATTTTCGAAATTATAATTTAGAGCCACATATTTTTTTATATGAATATTTTAAGAGTCAGAAATCAGCGTATGTTTATGAAGGTGATTCATACCCATGTATTCATATTGTAATCCTATAATTATTTCTAACGAATATTATTTTTTTTCCATTAATTTAAACTATTTTGGTTAGACAAATAATTAGCTCAATTTTATAGAAATAACAATGTGTGAAGTATTAATTTAATCTGATCTATGAAATAAAACATGAATAAATTCCAAGATTAGGTTAAGCTCCAAAGTTTAAGTTTACTCACTAATATAAAAAAGAGAGCACAAAGTACTAGATTAATTACAATTTAATAATTTATTCAGTTATAAACCCTAGCTTAGAGAAATCAAATGACAAATTATGCCATTTGAGTGATCTATTTCTCTCTTTTATTTATTTCCAATAAAAACTTAAAATTAGATTTAAAAAAAAAAAAGAAATTAAGAGATCACCATTAATTAGAGCATACTGGAGAGTTCCATCAATTGGTTCATCTCCTCCATCTGGCCTCCACTCGTTTCATCCAAAAGCCATTTCTCAATGAATGCCAATGGAGGAGCTGCATGATCATCGTCATCGTCATTATCATTATCATTATCGTCACCATCATCATGATCATGATCATGATGTTCATTACCATCTTTGTCCTTCCTTCTTTGCTTCTCTCCTTCAACGTTCTCAACATTCTTCTTATGATCATCAACGCCAAAACCTTCGTTACCTTCAAACTTTTTCCGATCATTACCCTCTTCCCAAGAACCAACGCTAAATTTCTCAAAGGACAGAATCGAATTCTGAGCACCACAGCCTTCTAATTGCTCCGCTTTGATCGGCTCATATGAAAACTGATTATGCTGATGATCTGTGTTGTTGTTCATATGATTCCGAAGGTTTTGGTCCAAGAACTTTGTGGTTGTACCCTTTGGAGATGATCTCATCCAACCCTCGAGAAGGCGAGAAATGTTTTCAGTGCTTGAGGCATAAGTAGGAGCTTGGTTACCGAGGTTTCTTGTGGACGAAGTTTGGCCCGGGAACTGTCCCGAGCCGCTCCTCTCGTCCCTCTCCGTGGCCGCTTGGAACTTCTGGAGCTTCTTCTTCAAGTGGGTGTTCCAGTAGTTCTTGATATCGTTGTCGGTTCTTTGCGGTAGGTATGACGCTATTGCAGCCCATCTTTGAA